CCAGGAACTTCTCCAATGTGAGTCCTTCCCACGGGCTGTAGTTCTTCATGGACTGCTCCAGTGGGTCCCTCCCACGGGCTGCAGTCCTTCAGGAATAGGCTGCTCCAGCATGGGGCCCCCACAGGGGCACAAGCCCTGCCAGCAACCCTGCTCCGGCGTGAGCTCCTCTCTCCACAGGTCCTGCCAGCAGCCTGCTCCAGCACGGGCTCCCCACAGGGTCACAGCCTCCTTCGGGCATGCCACTGCTCGGGTGTGGGGTTCTCCGTGGGCTGCAGATGGAGATCTGCTCCACCATGGACCTCCAGGGCTGCAGGGGCAAAGTCTGCCTGACAATGCTCTGCTCCATGGACTGCAGGGGAATCTCTGCTCCAGCACCTGGAGCACCTCCTCTCCCCTCTTCTGCACTGGCCTTGGTGTCTGCAGAGTTGTTTCTCTCACATGTTCTCACTCCTCTCTACTGGCTGTTGTGCCACAGTTGTTACCTTTTCTTAAATATGTTATCACAGAGGCGCTACCAGTGTCGCTGGTGGGCTCGGCCTTGGCCATCCGTGGGTCCGTCTCAGAGCCAGCTGGTCACTGGCTCTGTCAGACATGGGGGAGGCTTCTGGCACCTTCTCACAGAAGTCACCCCTGTAGCCCTGCAGCTACCAAAACCTTGCCACATAAACACAATGCACTGTGCCATGCTCTGGGCTCTGGAATGCCATATTACTTCAGCGTGGTATCATCCACAGTGCATCGGAGGTGAATCCCTGTGCTCCACTGAGGGAACGTGACATTAATATACTGCTGACTCCACTCAGAGCTGGCTTGGGCCACACTGCCAAGCTGCTTCTGACCGGAGCAGGTTCAGGAAGCAGGACAGCCATGTTTTCTCGGCGTGGTGCCTGGCCCAGTGGACCCTGAAAGACTTGGCTGGCAATGCTTGTAGCCAGTCTGCAGTTCTTCCGTGGAAAACAAGATTCACTTCAATCCAGGTGAGCTGCCTTGGAGAACCTAGAGGTGATGGAAGAAACCATAGTCATCTTACTTGGTTCCTGTAGATATATTCAAGCGCTAAATTAGCCCTTTCGGGATTACAGTGTCATGCTGTAAAGCCTTATGAAAATTGACTTTGCCCACAAAATAAGATGTGTCAGTGTGTCAAAACGCTATGCCATTTGGGAGTATATTGCTCCCAGAAGTCCCAGGAAATACAAAGATTTACAGGGCAACCTGAATTTCAAATTATTTAGGCTCCTCTAGAAACCTGCTGATTACTTAATTTTATTGTATTATTTTTTTCATATTTATGATCCCAAATTGTAAAATGTGAGTGGTGTCGCTTAATAATTTTGTTCCAGTCATGATGAGTAAAGGAAGACTCTTTAGAGTGAAAAGGGCTAACATTTTTATAGGCTAACTCATCTGCATTAGAAAAAAAGACCAGCATGTGTGCTAAGGCATCGTTCTTCCAGTTGGCAGGCATTCTTTGCCCAAATATAGAAAAACTGTCATTTCACCTTGTTTGCATCCATTTTACTAAGCTGGTCCGATTGTTCTGTTAGTTTCTTTATAACTCACTGTCCTGAGTCTTATGCTGTCTAAAAGTTTCAGTAACTAAGTTACCGTGCTTACACTTACTGAGTGCTGTGTTTACCTTGTTTGTTGTTGCAGCATAGCATAGCAGTCAAATGATCTACTGAGACCATGTCGGATGCTCTGCAGAAATCTGTTATACCAACCTTATCTTTTAACCAATGTGTCAGTGATCTTACTGAGATCCACTCAGTTTGTGTTTATTTTCGGTAATCTCTTGCTGCTTAGTCTTTGTTGAACTTTGTTGAACTCTTTCAGTTCCTTTATCCACGGTATGATAAAATAGGTGCTCTGGGGTACTCAAGGATTTGTTGCTATTCCAGATGAGTGCTGGATAGTGAATGTTAAACTTCGACTTTTCCGAGTAAGTTAGCTTGGAGTACTTAATTTGAAGAATGCTGTTCTACTTGCTCGCTTGTTTTAGGTAAATCCATTGCTTGAAGCTTTTGGCAATGCCCAGACTGTGATGAATGACAACAGCAGCCGCTTTGGAAAGTACATACAGCTGCGTTTCCAGCAGAATACAGGTGAAGTCCAGTGCAGTTACTAGCCTGGGGAATGGTTAGGCACTGGAGCAAGTGGACTGAGTAACCAGAACTTGTGGAGGGTGAAATTTTGACAGCTGTCTCCATGAGGGAGGGGTGTGCAATGAAATAAAATCTTACAGCAACCACAGCTGTAGCATAAGGCCTGGGTTTGGACAGTGTGGGGGTGCAGGAAGGATATGGGGGTGACAGTGCAGGGGAAGTATCAGTAATACTCTGTGGTGCCAGAAGCCTTGGTTGCTGCTAAAGGAGGTGAACAGACATCTCTAAGGTGATGGGAAGCACGGAGAAGCCCATTTCTTGGGTGCTGGGCAGCCTAAAGATTGTTGCACACAAGAAAGTTATTTTAGACAATTCTGTGCTCTTATCATGAAAGAAGAGATGTGGGATAGCTCAGTCACCTTCGTGTCCACAAGTGTAAAGTTGACCCTGTCACCTTCTTGTGTGCAGTGCGAGGTGCAAAGCTGAGCGAGTACCTGTTAGAGAAGTCACGGGTAGTGCAACAAGATGCTGGGGAGAGAAATTTCCATATCTTCTACTACATGTTTGCTGGACTCTCTTCAGAGGAAAAGGAGATGTATGGGCTGTTGGATCCTTCACTCTACAGGTACCTCAAAGGCAGACCCTAGTTTAGTCTTCATCGTGAGGGGGTGCAGGGGAAGGAAGCATAATGGAGCCTATGCCTCTGCCCTGTGGCTCTATTTGTGGAGCCTGGTACAGGTAAACAAATGAATGGAAGCTGGAGTGGGTCTCAGTGGAGCTACCTGAAGAGATCTCATGGGTCATCGTGGAAGCTAGGAGGTCTGGAGTGTCTTCTTTGCTGCGTTACCTTGGAAAAGTTTCTTTCCCTTTCATGTCTCCACTGGTGCTGATCTGCTTTGTTCCTTTGGAGTAGGACTGACTTGCTGTGCTGGTTGTGTGACAATTTTGTATGGGATATACACTTTCTCAGGTACATAAGTGGACGATTTGGTACACAAGATGTAGCTCAACGCTGGAAGCACAAATACCAAGAGGTGTGCAATGCCCTTGACATGGTGGGCTTCCAAGAACAGGTCAGTTCTGGGGTCGTTTAATTTCCATCTGTGCTTCCTGCAGGCATAGGGTTTCTTTCTGGTTGCTGTTCTGAGGCTCAGTCCTATTTCTCTCCTCTCTGGATTTTCATGTTTCTTCCAAACTGCCTGAGTCTGTCAGAGTTTGTGTAGACTCTTTTCCTACAGGCTGCCTGTGCTTTTCCCTCACATCTGCAGCTTCTGGGGCCTCTGTGTTGTATATGTTATGTGCTGACAGGTTTTCAGCTGCCTTTCTTTTGTGTTTTAGGAGCAAGTGGACATGCAGGCTATCTTGGCTGGTGTGTTGTCTCTGGGCAATGTGACCTTTGAGCCTGAGGAGAGCAGTGGGTGTGTAAAAGTGAGTGAAACCTCCCGGGGATGGCTGAAGGCTGCAGCGGTGAGTCACAAGAGCTGACAGAAACCTTATGGTTATGATGATGGTTCCCACTGGGAGGGTGACTGCAGGAGCTGTTTGTGCCGCGGATAGCAGAGGAAGTTTCTGTCTGAGAGTGTGAGGGCTGCTGAAGAACAAGGAGTTTTTTTCCAGAAATGCACAGTATGACCCCACGACTGCAGTTGTGTTCACTGCTAGTCATTCCCAAAGAGACACTTCCCAGCTTCTGTTTCCCGTGGGTCTAGAACCAGTGTCTTGCAGATGGTGATATCACACATGCCTTGTTGATTTCATACAATACAAGCTTTTTAAAATTAAACGTTTTATATTACTAAGTGTGATGATGCCTTGGTGTGTTGTGTTGCCTTAAGGTGTGCAGTATCTGAACACTGGTTCTGTGTCTTCAACAGATCTTGTTCAAGGATACCACCTTCACTGCTATCAATTTTTGTTGCTTATCCAGAATTAAACTTTCTACTATTTCACGTGAAATTATCACTGATTAAGAAGTATATATTCCCCAGGACCATCCCATTTTTATTATATGGGATGGATACATTAGCCTGCTTTGTTAACAACACAGAGCAGAAAAGTGTAACATATTTCTGCCTTTTCTATGTCTTTCTATTTTCACCTATTTGAAATCGCGGCACGCTTGGTTTTTGGTTTCACTCCCATCTCTTTGCCTGTTTCCCTCCTACACCATACCTGAAACAACCAGCTGCATCTGTTCAAAAGCTAGCTTCTTTCTGTTTCTTACTTCTTAAAGTCTGCTCCTTGTTTTTTGCCCACGGGAGGGGAATTCCTGTTAAAGCCATCGCTGAGGGGTTCAGTTGTGTCCGAGTTCCCTTTGTTTCCTGTCTCTGGTGGGTTCGTGTGACTCTGAGGTCTGGAGAAGCTCCGGCACCTCAGCACCTGCACAGTCACCTCAGTGTGGTGCTGTTCAGTAA